AACGACCTCAATCACCTCAACGACCTTTCGCCTTCACTGGACCCTTCATCTAAAGCGACATCAATCGCCTCAACGACTGCACTGGACCCTTCATCTGAAACTAACTCAATCGCCTCAACGACCTTTCACTGGACCCTTCATCTAAAACATCAATCACCTCAACGACCTTTCGCTTTCACTGGACCCTTCATCTAAAACCACCTCAATCGCCTCAACGGCCTTTCGCCTTCACTGGACCCTTCATCTAAAACGACCTCTATCACCTCAACCATCTTTCGCCCTCGATGGACACTTCATCTAAAACTACCTCAATCGCCTCAACGATCTTTCGCCTTCACTGGACCCTTCATCTAAAACGACCTCAATCACCTCAAAAACTCCAAAAAAGGTCTCACCAAAACCGACCGGTTCTTTTGGACCTGACCGTGTGACCAGGAGGGGTTATCTACCATTCCTGATTCATACAAAAAATAAAGGAAATACCCCTTATCCACACACAACAGGATAATTACCAATCACAACACTTTCGTTCTCGATAGATTAGGATCTGTTGAAAAATATTTTACCAGTAATGAGTGTAGCTCAATTATATTATGTTTGATGCCTCATAAAACCGTTACAAATGCTGCAAGTTTTCAAGTGTTCAGTAAGTATTTTATCACAGTGATTTTTAAATGCTGATTCAATAATACCCTTGCACTTTGTCCTGGCCCTTGAAAATTTAGCATTCTGAAATTTATTTTCAATATTTTAATTGCAGAACCTTTCAACGAAAACTCTTAATGTGAATTACGGTATGAAATGCAAATGTTCCTTCCATTGCAACTAACTGTTTGTTTGTTTGTTTTTCAATTCCTTCTATTAGCTCACACTCTCCATATATATATATCTTGTTCAAATTTTCAATCGTTCATAAAATACTTTTTATTCATCCACTCAAGTTCAAATACATTTTTTGAACTTGTAGTCGATGACACTTGATGTTGATACAGTTTTTCAAATATTAATTCATTAATTAAATTTAATTAATTAATTTCAGTTTTTTTTTTAGATTTAAGTTGCATATATCTATCAATAGATGGCGCCACATGAATTTAAAAAAATTTATATCACTTGTTTATCATCAGAATAATATAAAATTTGGAGAAAACTAGATATTTTACAACTGGAATCTTACGTTTTATTGTTGATGTTGAAGTTCTCCGTAATAGCTGCTCTGCCTTCAACTGCAATGCAAAAATTCTCCGCTGCAAATATTGCACAGAATATGTGAAACTTTTTTTTTTTTATATTAAGAATGAAAATAAATTCCTTTGTCAATTGATAGTAGAATTGGCATACCATCTTTTCTTAATTTTATCATCCTTAAAAGCAATTAATTTAAAACTAAAAACTAAATATAGAGCTACAAGAATGATGAAAGCCCATTAGGAATTAATAAAATTAATTATTAAAAACAGCATAGGCGAATAACACAACTAAATTTTAAATTTAAACTATTTTTATACTTCTGTTGACAACAGGGATGTGTATACTAATAATATATATATATATATATATATATGAAAATAATTAAATAGATATTGTAACAGTAAAACATGAATGGTGCTTACCTGTGTATTAATGAATATTCCCTAAGAAAAAAAGTGAGTCTAATGTGTGTGTATGTGGTGTACCTGTGGTGTTAAATCAATCTCGAGCGATCTCCTATGCTTAACACATGAGCCTCATAATCTCATCTCGCCACACTGTGCCGGGTCTTGATGAACCAACATGTCAAATACAAATACGTCACATGACAAGCAATGGATCGGAACTTTACCGATGGAATACTAAGATTTACAGAATAATTTTCTAATATCGAAAAGGAGGACATGTAGGATGACATCAAAGGGTGCATAAAACTTACACAAGATGGACTGTCTTTTTCCAAAAGAAGGCAATAAGTCAGCTTAATAAATCTCAAGTGTTGCTCTAATTTTAAATGGCATTCTCTTAGCTGTCTATATTGTTCTATATGTCTGAGCCTTTCTTCTAATTCATGAGCAAAGCTTGTTTAAAAGCTTATTCAGGCTGAAGCTTTGCTCTAATAATAATATACTTTTCAAATAACTTCTCACTGTGGTCGTGGCCCAACGTTTCAGATCCACAGATGTAAGATGGAGGCCTGAATGGACGAGTGACTAGCACTCTGACGCTCGGTGCCATAGGTTTCTGGTTCGAGTCCCGGCGGTGCCACAGATGTTTGTAGTGGTTCAGAATCCCCTTTAAGCTATAGGTACCTGTATAATATGACTGTAGAACTTTTGGGCGTAAGGCTGACAACCCTAACCCGTAAAAAGTCAGCGTCACGGGGCCAAGTCACACTTCTACCTACGGGTGCTCCATTACATCCACAGAAGCGACCCGCCTTACCTTCTTTCCATGAGATCACATGGGTTCTTGAACTTGGTAATGTTGCTGTCTACCAAGTGGGATAAGAAACAACAACAACAGATGTAATATATAATTATTTTAAATTTATACAAATGCAATATACAAAGTTATTTAGAAAATATAGACTTTATTTTACATGAGCTCCAATAATAAAATCTATTCTAGGAATACCAATTATCTTTTAAGTAAGTGAACTTCTTTCTAACACTTTAAAATACGTCATCCACTATTTATTACTACGGCCCAAAAATCAAAGAAGAAGTTTGTTGAAAATAAATAAAACTAAATAAGACACAAAAAGCGAAGCGGTCCATTGTGAGGCGATCGAGTTATAAAAATGTCTGGAGGCCCGCAGTAAATAACTGCCTGGTGAAAGGAGATTAAAACTTCCCAATTCCTCGGTTCGAAGAGATTTAGTGTCTCGTTCTCGATGGGTTTCAGGAACGTAAATGTTCCAATTTAGCGTTTCACGAGGCTGGAAAAATGAATATGGCGCATTCGATATAAATCACGGAGCCTTGAATGGGCTCTTGGGTTGATTTAACAAAGAAGATAAACTTGTTAATGAATAAGAATTAGAATAATTTGCAGTTGAAAAACGAGTTTAATTGAAAACTTGGGTTTTTTAATGCCAAGTGGTTTTTTTAGTTTAATGAAACTATAAATTTATTCTGAATTACTTTAAATCTAAGAAATTATTGAATTTTGTCGATGAAGGATAATTATATTAATTATATTCATTATTTGATAATTTTATCTTTGTAAACTTTAAAAGCAAGTTAAAATTGCATCACCATTTATGAGAATGGGAAGTTGCATACAGTTTCTTACGAGTATAACCATATTGGTTCAATTAGATTTGGTTTGTCGTTCTACGATCATGTTTTTGCACACTTTAAGCTGATTAGACCGGAACCTACTGTTTAACGTGGATTCTGAACCATTCATAAACATCCATGCCACCGCCTGTATTCGAGCCTGAAGATTATGGTACCAAAGGTCGGAAAGTTAGCCAATTGGCTATCAGGCCGCCTTGAAATAGAAGTCTCTTTGAAAACCAACAATAGTAAAATCGATAGCGATTTCGGTTGATTTTACTATCTATTATGGATTTTATATTTAATGCTGTATTTTTTTATTATTTATTTTATTATTCCACCGACAATATGTTCTACATTCTCGGATGCAAATCCTTTGAATAAGGACACTACATACTTTGGAAAATTGTAATACCAACTCTTAAAAAAAAGGATCTTCACACTAAATTGTAGTTTAATGTCCTCTTTTTAATGTTGCATTTGACAAATATTTATTTTATTATTTATTATTTTTATTATTTAGGTGAATTATCTCAGATGGAAAGTCTGGCATTAGAAACACATATAACCATTCTCTGGCCCATTCTGCAGATTCCGAAACACGAAATGTTTCCTTTTTACGGGGTAGGGCTGCCAGCCTTATGCCCTACAGTCTATTAGACATGACCGAGTGGTGGTTTAAAGTGGATTCCGAACTACTACAAACATCCATATTATATTCGGGACTTGCACCCTGTGGCACCGAGCGGCAGAGCTCTAGACATTCGGTCATCAGGTCCCGAAGTTAATTATTTCATGCAGGATTTATTCCTAGTATTTATTCCCTGTGTATAAAATAAGGCACCAAGAAACCACAAAGCAAGAATTAAATGCTTTTATGGTACGTAGATCACAACATAACACTGAATCCATCATTTCAGAAAAATTGCAATTACTGCATCCAGTTTCCATTATTGATTGCGTAAATGTATTCTATATAAAAGTGCCTGAATAGATAATCCAGCCAAGCGAAACGTTGCATCTGTAAATAGAACAGAAGCCAGTTACAATTATTCTTGGTTCGTAATTGACGTCAAAAGAGAGAGGAACAAAATATCGATTCCCTTCTAATTGCTACACAATGTTATCTTGGGAATAGTCCCCGCAAATATATTGAATTAATTACTTTTTCAAACTGCATTAGATTTTATTTGTTTAATTTATGTTTAACCGCTATCGGGTGTTTTAGAATTAATTTTATCAATATGGAATCTGTCTGAGAGCAGGATATTACTTGATTGCATAATATGAAGAAGAATTAGTTTTAAACTTATGCATTTTTAATATATATTCAGCACTTAGTAACAATGAATTAATATGCATAATGAGAAGTAAATATTAATTGATGTAGTTTATAAAGTAATGAAATTAGCGATATAATTTTGTATAATAAATGAATTTTGTAATTAGCTGATTTTATCACTATAAAGTATGTTTTTAAGATCCAATGGGTTCATAACGCTATGCAAAAAGATACAATTTAATTACGTTGCCAGTTTTATTGAGATGTCATACTTGAGAAGTACTCAATGTTCAGATATCAACTAGATACTAAATACACAGATGTCACATATTGAGATTGCTTTCATCGGTTTGTTATTTTTCTTGCTCTAACACTGTTTTACCTTTTCATTCACCACATGTTCTCCATTTCATTCATGTATCATGAGAGATAGCTATTTTGCTTTTACACTCTAGAATGTAGCCAACGGCTATACCATGCTGAATATACCGGTTCTCGTTAGATCACCGAAGCGCATCATTGGTCAGTACTTGGGTGGGTGACCACCTGGGAACCGCGTGCCGTTGGCATTCACAAATTTGGGACCTGAATGGCCGAGCGTCTAGCGCTCTGACGCTCGGTGCCACAGGGTTTCGGGTTCGAATCCCGGCGGTGCCATGGATGTTTGTAGTGGTTCGAATCCACTTTAAGCCGTAGGTCCCGGTCTCCTATGACTGTAAGAGCGTCATGGAGCCAAAGTCAGACTTCTACCTACGGGTGCTCCATCACAACAGAAGCTGCTTCCTTCCCCTTCAATCATGAGTACGTATGGGCTCGTGGGCCAGCCAAGTGGGATAAGAAACAACAACAACACACTCTAGAATGAACGCATTAAAGGGAAATTTGAGACGACCCCCTTCCCCTCCTATATATATATGTGTGTGTGTGCGCTTATTTATTTATCTATTTTGTAGCTTAACTGATTGAAAAAAAAATTCTAATCAAATGCATAATTAAAATACTTGAATTTCGAATAGTATGTATTTTAGAATTTATTTTCATATTCACTAATTATATCATAAATAGAATTATCAGAACCACGACAATTTAGATTTGACCATATTGGAATTTAAAAAAAATGTTAAATTCCTTTCAGAAACTTTAATATCGAAAAATTATGATTTGATCATTCTAAGTAGGTCATTGTAGTTTTGTATGCATACTTTTTAATCCTAAATTATTTTCTTTTATCAATATATTATTCGTATTTAAAATTGAATTATAACTATGTAGTTTTAATTCTTGAAAAGTAGGGCTTCATGTACGAGTGGGTGGAATTGAGTTAAAAGTGAACGATCCTTTAAGCTCTGGTGACATGAATAAAAAATATTAATTTAACGATATTGAAAAAAAAATGCATTAAATTCCCTCCATATTAACTACATTTCAAAAAGCAGCCATTAGAAGATATTACCTTAAAAGTTTATTTTTCGAGGGAATCTGGGCCGATTCATAATATTTTTTATTATTTTCTCATGCATTTTTAAAAACGATATCATCATATATTTTCAACAAAGCTATCACCACAAGATTTTTATTTTCAGTAAAGTTATCCTTTTCTAGTAACGCCCTCATCAATCTTAGTAACGCTGCATTTCATTATAATGTTTAAAATTTTAAATTTTTTGCTAATATTGATTTCATGCTGAATTTCTTTTTCTTTTTCAACAGATTTTAGTTCTTAACTGAAAATGCCTGCTTCCTTCTTATAACTTTAAAGGGGTGAGATTTTTGGCGTATTTGCATATTCTGTATATTTATTCTTACAATTTTCTAATTGTCTCTTACTTCTGAGTAGCCTCTGTTTAAATTGTGCACTGCATGAGTAAATTACATGTTTTAAATAAACACTTTAAAATCTAATTTTGTCCCTTCCTTTTTTTTTTTTTTTGAGAACATGGTCCCCTAACATTTTTGTGAAGCATGGGATGTTATTTAAAGGATATTCAATGCCATTACGAATCTTTTTGCATCGTCTTCTTTATATAACTTGAAAAAGCCTTACTTCCAACAGCTATATTAGACCGGGACCTAAGGCTTAAAGTGGATCTCGAACCAATATAAGCATCCATGGCACCACTGGAACTCAAACTCTGGCACCGAGCGATAGTCGACCATCAGACCCTAGATTAAATCCAACATTTAATAAATTATAAACAGTTTATTTTTTTTTAAATATAATTACTTGTTTCCTATTATTCAGATTTGATCGTTTCTGTCCAATAGCATTATTCAAGAACAAGAATAATATTAATACTTACACGTTTTTATTAATAAAATTACATATTCTGATTTATAAGGTATTTTATTGTCATTTAATGCCAAGTGAAAGAATACTTATAAGTATTATGATACCGTATTTTATACCGTCAATTTTTTTTTTTAATACAAGCTTCTATTTAAATTTTATTTTAAAATATGTATATATAATATGATATAAAATATTATATATATATATATATATATATATATATATATATATATATATATATATATATATATATATATATATATATATACTAGAAGACCCGGCCGCGCGTTGCTGTGGCTTTCTTGTATTTCGTTCAATTATTAGATACTATAATTGGTATTGTTAAGGAAGTGATTGGTAAAGAATGATGAAAAGATCAAATTAAGTTTCAATGAATAGAAAATGTTTAATTTTTATTAATTTAATGAATGAGGTAGATAATGTTGATTTTTAAGACTGTTTTATAATTATTTTACGTAATATAATTTTTAATAATCATTACTTTCATTTAACTAAGAAATGAACAATATTTCTTGTTAGTCTGTCTTTCGTCGAAATAAATAAATTCGATGGTTTTCGAACACGTGAGCATGCAACATACAGCTGCCCATGGGAGAAACACGGATTCTGAGGTTAGATTTTTTTGGTGGTCGTTTACTGAAAATGATAATTGAAAAAAAGACAATACAATTAAAATAAAATCGGGATATAATAAGAAAAGACTTAAAAAAATTCACAATAAAATACAAATGCAAACGATCGTTTAAGGTACACGAACACCTTCGAAGGAATTTTTGAAATTTTTTATCTTTGTACACATTTTTGGATTGAATGTATCTAAAAACTAATGATTTCACATAAAAATTTCATTATTATTTTTTTTAAATTTTTATAAGCTAAAATAAGGGTAAAAATGGCCAAAAATTGATACTGTTACAAAACCTGAAATCAAATCAATATTTTTAAATTTCTAAGTTTGTATTTGTTTGTACTAACATTTTACAGTGAATAGACCTCTGGTAAATTTATATCTTTATTATTTATTATTTTTATGCTAGTTTAAATGCTGTCGACACAAAATTCTTCCAAAATTTTCATGTAATTCCAAGTTTAACAATTGAAATAAAAAATATTTATGTAGCTATAATCATTTCAGAGGTCTATTCCCTGTAAATATTTATGAAAAACATAAATACAAAGTTTTGTAGCATTTGGATCAAAATTACTTGTGTTATGGTGTTTCACATGAAAACAAAAAGCATAAAAATTCATTCTGAGAAAAAGCTAAAAACAACTTTTAATTAGATATATTACTTTTAAAAATGTTGTAAATATATTAAAATGCCATTGAATTATCAAGTTCATAGTCTTATTTATTAAAAAATATAGTTTTGTTTTTCCTTAAAGCTGTAAATATTTTCTGAGCTTTGTTTTGAAAAAGTTAAAATTTGCTCGACAAACTTTTTTTTTTTACAACTTCCTGCTATTTGCAAAGGCTTTTAATATGAAATGACCTGAATTTAAAATATTTAGCCTTTTTGCAAGTGTTTTGATTAAATATATTCAAAACCTTTGAATTTCACATAAAAATATCAACTTTAACTATTCTTTATACAATTTATTCTTTAAAATATGGATAAACATTGCAAAAATGTGATATTGTTGCAAAATTTTATAATTCAAAAATAAATAAAACATGAATAGTTTTTCCTTTGCAAGTATTTTTATGCTGGGAATATCCTTATGTAGGTAATATACTGTTTTCAAATTTATATCTCAATTATTTATACATTTTTGTATGCTTAAAGTTTGTCGACACAAACTTTTTTTTTTTTTAAATTTACAAAAATTCTTAGTTTAAAAACTAAAATAAAAATAATTTATGAATTTAGGTTAATTTCCATGTTCTATTCCTTTCATACATTTAAAGAAAACTTTTACATGAAGTTTCAAAGCATTTAGAACAGAAATATTTTTATTGTGATGTTTTGAATGAATACAAAATGCATAAAAATTCAAATAAGAAATAATTAAAACCAACTTTTAAATATAAATAAAAACAAATGTACATACATAAAAATGTTATTGAGCTTTAAATTCTCCTTTATTAATATAAACACTTATTTATTTGTTTTGTTTTCTTTAAATAACTTCCAACTTAAAAGTACCATTTATCAATTTTTCTTCGACAATATTCAAATCACTCAAATTTATAACTCAAATTCTTTGTTTTTCAAATAACAAAAAGTTTTTAAAATAAAATGTCCTTGATTTTCAACTTGCAACTATTATAATACCTTTTATAAAATTTTAATGTTATCATTATATCAAATAATTGCAGAGTTTACTTCATTTTCACACTTTTCAAAAAATCCTTGAAAATTCATCATCTTTCTTTAAAATTATATTGTCTATATTATATTATCTTGTAGATCACATTTCATTTTAGAATTCTTAATCAAATACAACACATGTTGACAAACTTTAAGCATAGAAAAGTTCAATGTTTTGATTCACAACTTTTCATTCAATATATTTTATTCCAATTCAAACTTAGAAAATGTGTTTTTCTTCTTCACAAAAAATGTTTTATTATTTTATGATGAAAGAAATCACAAAACAAATGGAAAAGTTAATGAGCTTTAAATTTTCCTTTATTAATATAAACACTTATTTATTTGTTTTGTTTTCTTTAAATAACTTCCAACTTAAAGTACCATTTATCAATTTTTCTTCGACAATATTTAAATCACTCAAATTTATAACTCAAATTCTTTGTTTTTCAAATAACAAAAGTTTTTAAAATAAAATGTCCTTGATTTTCAACTTGCAACTATTATAATACCTTTTATAAAATTTTAATGTTATCATTATATCAAATAATTGCAGAGTTTACTTCATTTTCCCACTTTTCAAAAAATCCTTAAAATTCATCATCTTTCTTTAAAATTATATTGTCTATATTATATTATCTTGTTAGATCACATTTCATTTTAGAATTCTTAATCAAATACAACACATGTTGACAAACTTTAAGCATAGAAAAGTTCAATGTTTTGATTCACAACTTTTCATTCAATATATTTTATTCAATTCAAATTCAAACTTAGAAAATAAAAAAAATATTGATAATCAAATCAGGTAATACTTACATACATTTGATTTATTTCTCATAGAAATAATATAAATTTCATACAATATAATTTTCACAAAATTTAAAGTAGTACATAAAACAATAATATTCAGAACATGAGAATTTTACGGTTATGTAGTACA